AAATGACCGAAGTCCCCTCTATTCCTCGACTGGGGTGGGAGTTTCCATCAAGCCCAGGGATTCAAAAGTTCGTCAAACTTCTCAGAACTGACCGAAAGGGAGCTTCGAAAAAGGAGAATGCGCCTGTCGAGGCGTCCCCAAGCTGCGGGGGTATGAAATGCGAGACTCCAGAGGAAAGAGAGAGGGATGAGAGGGGGGGAAACAAGGAATTTCTGAGAGGACTTTTGGCCAGGGAGAGAAGTAGCTAAAACCTGAACCCGGTCCCGTCGAGGAATAGGAGCGTGAGGCGTAATTTCAAAGGTGCGAAAAAACGGGGTAGTGCGAGAGTACGGGAGAACCGGGAGATCTGCGGTGCCGTTCCCTCCAAAAGCCTTTCCCGGGAGGCAGAGGGACTGCAGGCACACCGGAGCAGCGCAGGCAGACGATTGGCCCGACATGCCCGGCATTGGCGGCACTGACTGGCAGCGGCTTTTAGGCGGGAATTTTAGGCGGGACCTATGCAAATGCCGTAGGTCCGACCTGGGACCTTCAGCGTATACTCGGAAGTTAAATCCTTTCTTCTTTCTCTTTCGGATAGAGGAAGACAGAACAAATGCTGCGCGCAACCCCAAATTGTTCGGTACCCCAACATTCTTATCAGGGAAAGGCGAAGTGCAGATGCCACTGGACGGGTAGCAACTGCCCAGTTTTGCTTTGGGATCTTTTTAGGTAGGAGTTGGAGAATCTCTTTCTCACACACACACATGCACACAGGCACAGTGCCTGACTTGTAACTGGTTTTGGATCCCGACTGCGAACACGCAGTTCTTTTAGAGGTCGATTCCCAAAGGGGCTTCATCTCAAGGAAATGAAGGACGGAAAGCCACGCTGTCACTCCATCTCCAAATCCTTCGTTCGGGGCAAGCCACGAAAGGGAAACCTAAAATTGCCCGCCTGCCCTCCCCCCTTGCCGCTCCTCACGCACGCATCGCCGAGGACGCTTCGTACAGCCCCGCGCCTTCCTCTGGAGTTTCCGAAACGGGACGCGCGGCTGAATCGAGGGATGGACGGGCGGATCCGGGCAGAAGGCAGGAGCGGCGAAGGAATCGTCAGGATCTGAGAGCCAAGGGCTTTGCTTCTCCATCCGGGATGGGCGCCTGCAATTCTGCTTGCTCCGTCAGAAGGCCACTCTGAGCTGGCGGACACCATGCTCGCCAGGAAGAGGCTTTTAGTCACTTGTCCGCCCCTTCCGACTGCAGTTTTCCCTGCGGAGCCGTCAAAGCAAGACTTTAGCTGCCAACGGCCCCCGGAGAAGCAACAGGACGTCACCTAATGCTTGTGGTAGATGAAGTAAAGGGGAAGGCAGTCTTGTAGCTCATTCGCCCGCGAATCTCTTGGAGCATCTTCTGGCCTCCCCTAGCCGTCCTCGAGGTGGTGTAAAGCCTGCTGCTGGCGGGATGCCTCTAGAAGACGCCATAGGCGATTAGTGGGGACAGGCCAGGGTTTATAATTACCTTATTGTGTTTTCGGTCAGACTTTCACAGGAGAGAACGGACCCGCCCCTTCACTGCCATCCACGTTGACCCAACTATCCGTGTCCCTCTTATGCCGAAATAAAAGTGCTGTTGGCGATTCCTGCTGCCATCTTCTCCTTACGTACAGACACTCTAAGATCGGACAAGTGTGTTTCCTAAGGTGACAGAGATGCTCAGGAGCGGGCATCTCGGGGCATGACTTCATTTACACAACACACCCGCTTCACCAAGTTACTAAATTAACTCATTTTCTGGGTTGGCAGAAGCAGAAACTAACCAGACGGACTATGTTTGCACAGCACTTATGTTCCCCCTTCCCCCAAAGGTTCACCAGACTGAATACCAAACTTAGCATGTCGTGCGAATGCATCTACTAAGTCTCTACCTGAGCTGCTAGCATTTAATGGGGGAATACAGCCACTATGGTATCTACCGCAGCAGCAAATCACATTATCTCTTCCCTCCTCCTCCCTCAGTCAAAATTCATAGCACCAAGTTATTTTGAGACTTGAGGGGTTGGTTGGTTGGTTGGTTTTAATCCCATTGCACTTCTCCTCGCTGATAAATGGTAATCACAGTTTTCCGCCCTATTCTGATCCCACAAGTCAGCCTTCGCTTTGCATAATGGGAGCTTCCCCCTCCATCAGATTTGAAACTGGTACGAGTGCAGTCGACTTCCTCGCGATTCAGAGGCTTCCGCGAATTACTTGGCTAAGCCCTTCCAGAGAGCGTGTTGTATTAAGGAGCTACGCGCCAGTGTCACCAAGAGCCTTGGCAAACTTGCTGCTTGCCGACACCATGACTGGGAGTTCCAGATCCCCTCCCCCCCTTCGGATTAAATAAATGCAATTAAGAGCTTAGCCTGATGTGACTTCGGGCTCAAGTTGGGAGGAAACCCGATTGAAAACAACGGAATGAGGCTTCTCCCTAATACAAGTACTAGGGAGAGTTAACACCATGGAATTTAATGGGACTTTACCCCTAAACGTCTTCCTACGTCAATGATTTTACTTCCCTCCCCCGCCCCAATTGCCCCTATATCTTAACTGATCAGACCCCCAAGATAAGAACAGGGGAGGCTGTTAAAATGGATCTCAAACCCGCCCTTTGAATTTTCATTGAGGGAATCTAAGAGTGTTGGAGGGGGCGGCGAGTCTGAAGAGATTGGCGACTAACAAAGTGACCAGAGGCGCTTCTGGTTTCCCCGTAGCAATTAGGCTCAAGCAACTGCCCCGCCCCCGATCCCTACTTTCTTTATCCCCGGCCCAGCTGTAACCAAAAGCACCTTGGCATTTTTTTCTGCCCTTCCTTTCGTAAAGTTTCCCAGACACTTTTGAAGCGAAGTCCCCTAACACGTTGGTATTGATTCGCCGCAGCTATTAAAAATAGTGACAAGCCAATCCACTGCCCCCAAGATTTTATATTCCCGGCGCGCAGGACCCCGGGGACAGCGACCTGAGCCCCGCGGCCCCGACAGAAAGCAAATGTGGATCTAGCACAGCAACAGACTCAACTCCAAAGTCACGAG